TCATTTTAACGTATCTTTTTTTTCGTAACGCACAATTCATTCACATTCATTTAATGTATATATATATATATATATATATATATCATTAATCTGAATATCACCCCTAAAAGTCTGTCAAGACTGTCAGTATAGATTAGTTCTACATTCACTATTTCATGGTTTATTATATTACATCAATACAACTTAATAGGCATCTTTAAAGACACCACCTATTACCTTTTTTTTTCTTTTTCTGAGAATGTATACCAATAAATGTTGTATACAGAAAGATACATATGAAGTCAAGGCAACTATACATCAGAAAAAAAATTTTTTTGTTTTTCACTTACTTTACAATTGTTTTGTGAATACTCAAGCACACATACTCAATACACACACACATACACATACACACAAATGGCGTAGGTACGTTTTTTTCACCAAAACTATTGAATAGATCTTTTTTTAAAGGTAATAAAAAAGAACCATTGAACATGAAATGGTTGATTGAACCCATTGAAATTCATGATTATTATTATTATTATTAATGGTGTTAGAATATATTAACACATTTTGTATTACTGCATGGATGAATAACTTTCTTCTTAGAAATAGAACCATCTTTCAAGTGAATAGAATTAACATAGGAGGTATAAAATGTAACTATATTACAAGTATTCATTAAATACTTTGAAGTGTGTTTACAGTCTTAACATTGGGGGAAGAACTATTGAAAGTCATGAAAAATTAGAGAGTTGTTTGATCTCAATTCAGGATTTCCGCGTAGTACACTAGCATGATCTATCATGGAAAAGAATCAAATAATATCAGACATTGAAGAATATGACAAATCTTTAATTTAATGGGTTTATATACAATAGCCTGTAATTCTATTCTTAAATGACCCTGTGGTGTGGTCTACTTATATCCATCTAAGTAGTATATGGTGATGGTTAGACATAGAATGTATTTTGGCAGAAGACCGATAAGGAGAGGACCAAAATGAAGCGCGATTGGTAGGAAAATGCACAAACAATAAAATTTGAGAAGACGGAATGATATTTGCAGAAGGAACAGTGAAAATTGAGACAATTGATAGTTATTTTGCAAATTAACTGTTTGTTGTATGGTTATCAGAATTTAGTGAGATAGTCTGTAATTTGTGTCTAAATACATTCGATTGTACCAACCCGTGTTTTGTTCACTACAACTTAACTAATGACTTGAGAGATTACATGAAAAATCGTCATAGTTAGATAGGTAGATAGAACTTTAGGCGACTAGTTTTATCCGTATGAATTAATCAGACATTACTCAGTTTCATAGAAAAAGTTGTTCTAATTGAACTAGCTTGATTCCAACTGACCTCCAGCCGAAGGATGTGCTTTCTGATTGCTATATTCGTTATTGCTTGTTGTGAACTTACACCTTAACATTATCTCTCTCTCTCTCTCTCTCTCAAGAATGCAAATATTATTTTCTAACAAATCCTGATTAGCATAAAACCTAAATTATAACACTAACTTCTTATTTACGGCTTTCATTTATTCGGTATAGATCAAGTCACATCCCTAATTTCAGTTTACTCAGATTAGAATGCTTATATTTACAACTTGATCGGTCGGTGGAATATAATCAGTGTTGAAGGCATAAATCAACATGGTGTTTAGTTACTATCAAATGATCAATTCATAAAGACTGTAAAAAGTAAACAGACTGATTAATTCGCTTTTCGGTTACCTCAAACCGTCCTTAATTAAAATTATGAAAAAATAAAATAATCTATCATTTTTCTTACTTCAACGATTCGTTTTTTAGTTTGAAGCATTCAGGACATCTATTCAGTAAACTTTTTATCTATCTTCTAACACAATAGATATTATTATCGTTTTAAGCAGAGATGGATGGTGACTAGCGGTGAAATCCAGGACGAGCATGTTGTCCTATTTGAGACTTATCAGCTGGATGTAGCTACATCCTAGAATTGATGTTCACTCCTGGACTCGAATCCAGTGATGTTCGCTTCGAAACGCCATCAAGTTATCCACTTAGCTATAGGGTCTGTTCAATCACTGGGTTGTGTAATGGGATGATGTTTAATTCAACTATATTGGTTGATTAGGTATTTGTACAACCTGGATTTCACTATTAACCATTATCCATTTCTGCTTAAATTGGTTGTGACTTATTGATAATATTAGGTCAATCGGTACAGGATACATCTATGACAAAAAGAGACTGCACAAATGCAGTCCTAAACATAACTGAGGAGAATGAAACAACCAATATATACATATATGAATGTATGTATGCATGTATCTATGTATTATTATCATTGCTGTTGTAATCAAATTTGGATGACATAATCGTTTTTATACGTAGATTACCACTTATTCATGTCTTCTTATTTACATCAAAACCAGTTTATACATTGTGTACGTTAAACAAGAAAGAGAATCGAATGATTTTTCTTAAGTTTTTCATGTCTATATGTTAAACGGTGTGTAGATGTAGAAATAAGATTGAATTCAAGTAAAGTATGGCTTTTGAATCAGTGAAAGAAGATTTATAGTTTAAGTTGAATGAACTGACTATGAAACTTTCATTGTCATTGCATGAAATAATATTATCCTATAATGTTCTATTGATTAAGTTACTGTGGAAGTACTCTAGCCTAAGTTATTCTTATGATGGGCATCAAACACTTTAAGATTGCATGTAAGACTTGAGGAAAAGTGTCGAACAGCAAGAAACTTAAGTTCAAGAATTCTCAACTACTTGAAAACATTCAATAACGTAACATCAAAATATAATCAACGCGATGTATGACCTGAAAAATTAGTTCCAGACCAATGACAGATAGATTGACAGGATTCCGTAACCCTCAAAGAACGTAAAACATGACTCAGTAATAAAACATTTGTGAACACTTCTGAGTACATCAAATTTACGAAAGAAAAATAAGTAGACAGCAGAAAAATTCGACAGCAAGCACAAATATTCAAGAACTAATGCTAAACAGATAAAATAGTCGAAATCATATCATCTATTCGACAGTGCACAAAATAAACGCTGATCAGATAATTTTAAAACATAACATCAATTTAGGAGCCTGTATTCCATATTAAAGGTTAAAATTGATTGCTTCATGTTACTATGTGTACACACTGAGTGGATTGACTAAGTATTGACATTTAGTTAACATTTTTAGTAAAGTTGGATTTTACCTAGTAACCGAATCTAGAATGAGTGTTTCATGTTATTTAAAACAAGCCGTTATCAGTATACGACCTATTATAGGTTGATGAGAATGAGATTTATTCCAGAAACTGATTTTAGCTCGTGAACCATTCACAGGCAATGAAATAAATATTACATGCTTTGCTGTGAATACAATGAGTGGTATAAACCATGAAATTTCACAACCTCAACTAATCCGTTACATTCAGAATAATCATGCATTCTTTAGTGACTAATTTCTAGAAGTAAATTCCACAATTCTATTGAAAAGCCATTATTAATGATCTGAAGAGTTTAAGCTTATCAGATGTGAGGCAGATATATTCTAATGTAGTTGGTAGATGGTTGCTGAATATGGTGAATTAATTATAATTAGGAATACAAACCATTTGATGATGATTTAATGAATCAAATCCCAAGCGCTTGCCACGAAATCTTCAGATCTCGTGTTCCAAACTCTATCCTGTTGTGGATATACATTTCTGTAAAGCCCTATATTTTAACGAAACAGCTAAAGTGTAATTCCTGACTTTTAATGGTCATCTAAATAAGATCAATCAATTATGTAAATTATACGAATAAATAATCCCTGCAAATCCCCTGCAGTAAAATTACGAGTACATAATGGAAACTAATTTGAAAACATTAGGTTCCAGCATTCTATCTAGGATTGATTTCATATTTTTCTCTCATTGAGAAACAAAACAAGAAGTAGGGAAAAGTGAAATGATTATTATTTCAGACAAATGTAATTGACAGTAGTTAATCTAATTTTTACAAAAATAAAATCTGTTTTTTTCCAATGTAACTAACTGACTAAATGAAAAAATAATGATAATAACAATATTTCTTTGAAAAAAACAAAAAACAAATTCATTCTAATTCACTTAGTATTGTTTGTTTAAATCTTCCCAATGATGTTTTTAGAACTGCAACTGGTTAGTCTCTTATTGGCCATATGTGCAAACGGTGCTTATTGCCTCGATATTGCCTTAATTCACAAGCATTATAAACAAAGGTGGATAGTGGCTAGTAGTGGAATCCAGGAAGCGCGTTTTGTCCTATTTGGGACTCGTCAGCTGGATGTACCTGCATCTCAGAGTTTATGTTCACTCCAGAACTCGAACCCAGTACCATTCGCTTCAAACGCCATCGCGTTATCCACTCAGCTACTAAGTCCTAATAGCCAATAGTCCCTATAGGCACATATGCCAATAAGAGACTGATCAGTTGCAATACTAAACATCAATGAGAAGATTCCAACAAACAATACCAGGTGAATTTAAACTTCACCCCATTGCACAAGCAAGTGGCTATCAGGACTCAGTAGCTGAGTGGATAATGCGATTGCGTTTGAAGCGTATGGTACTGGGTTCGTGTCCAAGAGTGAACATTAACTCTGAGATGCAGGTACATCCAGCCGACGAGTCCCATATATTACGAAAGATGGTGTCCTGGATTTCACTGTTAGCCACTATGCATCTTTGTATATAAATCCATTCTAGTTTGACTTTCAAAATTCTATATAATTTGTTTTTATTCATAGTGAAAGTTAATAGTCTCACCTGTTTGGTTGTTTGTTTTTTCTCTTTTTTTTACAGACATGTTTATTCATAATAAATTATAGTCATTATTTGTTAATCAGCTGAGAGACTTGTGATTGGTTAATTTCTCAAATATGTTTAACCAATCAAATTAAAGTATTTTGAAATCATGCTAAAAAATCGTATTGTTGAGAAGTATGAATAGAAAAAAGCAGCCATAATAATACTAATAATAATATAAAATAAATCATTGTTTATAAACACAAGAGATTAATGGCCTATAAACAACTTTCATTAATTACATAACATATACACTACAATATACATACACATCACAATAGATTAAGTATGACGTAATGAATAATGCCTTACAATTGGAATAAACACTGTTGGATCATTCATATCATTATTTTAATAATTCTATTTGAAATTTTATATCATGTAACTATGGAAAGTTATTTTGAGAATGATAAAACAATGCTTATTTCATACACAATACAAGAAGAACTTTCAAGTGGTACATTAGTTGGTAATTTATTTAATGATGTTCGAAAATTATACGAGAAATTCAAATTTACCACTTCATCTCCAATGACAACAGGAATAACTATGTTACATTCAATTAAACAATTAAGAAAGTTTGAATTAAATCCATATGATTTGAATTCTAAACAAATGAATGAATATTTTAAATTAGATCAACAAACTGGTGATCTATTTATACAAAATCGTATTGATTATGAATATATATGTCCGAAACCTTTAGTACATACTACTACCTCTTCTATGATGACTTCCTCGTCTTCATCATCATTATCATCGAAAAGTCTTTTAACAATTCATTCAAACAATAATGGATTAGTCCACCTCTCACATTATAATTGTTTAATTCAATTAATTTTATTTGTAAGTTTACAAAACTCCACTGATGAACGTTGGATTCCTATCAGGATTTATATTGAAGATATTAATGATAATCGTCCAAAATTTATTGAATTCAATTCATCAAAATGGTTTAATTATTTTAATGTAACAATAAAAGAGAATATTCCATTTGGTACAAGAATACCTTTAATGAAAGCCTATGATTTAGATACCATTGAGACAAATACAAATATTTTATATAAACTAAACTATCCTATAAAAGATAATCAAACTGATTATCATCGAATTTTTGGTTTAGTAACATGTTCCATTAATAAATATCATGACAATAATAACAATCATCGATTAATAGATGAATCAATCCATGGAAGAAATAATGATCATTCTCCATGTTTAATCATTAAAGATAAATTAGATTATGAAATGAAACAATATTATTTTATTGAATTAATTGCATATGAATCTGGTTATTCAACCCCAATTGATTATGCAATATTACCAATTAAAATTATAATCATTGATATAAATGATAATATGCCAAAATTTATTTTCCCAATAGATAATTATTATTCTATGAATATATCCGAAAATTTACCAATTGGAACATTATTATTAAAAGTTGAAGCTATTGATATAGATAGTGGTGAGAATTCACGTTTAACTTATAGTTTAACACAAAATTCATTTAAGAAAAAATTGATCTTAACTGAATTACATGATTATGATCTTAGTGATAGTAATCATAATAATAATGATAACCTAAGGGATAATACCGATTATGATCAGTCAAATCCTTTTGGTCAATTTATAATTAATCCATATAATGGTGAAATACGTTTAAATCAACTATTACATGCACATGAAACACAACAAATTGAAATTATTATTCATGTAAATGATAATGGTATACCTATGCATAAAATATCAAAACATTTATTATTTAATATTATTGATATTAATAATTATGCACCAAATATAAAAATTAAAAAAATTGGTTGTAATAAATTTAATATAGAATCAAATGAAATTAAAATTTCAAATAATATTGAATCTGGTAGTTATGTAGGTTTCTTAGTTGTTAATGATTTAGATCTTGGAGAAAATGGTTATGTAACATGTAATCAAAAATTAAATGACTATAATGATAATAATTTGGATAAATATTCTTATTTTAAAATTAATCTAATTAATAATGGTCAAATATCTAGTCAATATTTATATACATTACAAATTATAAAAGATGATTATTTAGATAATGAAAAACAAAATCAATTTAGTTCTAAAATTAATAATACAATTGATTATCAAACAATATTTAAACAAAAATTTACTTCATTTATGATAATTATTACTTGTAAAGATCATGGTAGTCCATTAGCATTAACAACATCAATTAATTTATTAATTACCATAATAGATTATCAACAAATTGATTTGTGCTTTGAACAAATTACTTATGAATTAATTATTGAAGAATCAAATCAACCTATATTAAATTTATTACAACCTCAATTACTTGATATTATCAATGAAGTAAAGTTTAGTATAGAACCTAAAAATGAAAAATATAAAATTGGTTGTGATCATCTTGAAATTAATTCATTCACAGGTGAGATATCCGCTCCAAATGGTATCGATAGAGAAGAAATATCATATTTTATTTGTTTAATAATCGCTAAAGAAATTGATAATAATGATTTAATAAAACATAATCGTATTGCTACCACTGAACTGATTATCAATATTACTGATATTAATGATAATGAACCGAAATTAAATAAAGATATTTTATTATATGGTTTTACAATAAATGAATGGGATGAATACCTAGGAAATGAGAATGATCAAATGAATCAAACTAATTCATATATAATTGGTTTTTTAAATGCAATTGATTTAGATTTTGGATTAAATGGTACAATAAAATATACATTAGCACAAATTACTACTGAAAAATATATTAGTAATATAAATAAAACAAGACAATTTTTCAATCAGAATAATGATGATCATGATAAATTAAGATCTTTATTTCAAATTGATTCAACTAGTGGTTTAATTACTTTATCAAGATCTAAACATTATTTAATTGATCGAGAACAAGTAACTACTTATCATTTACAAATCATTCTTGAAGATATGGGTTATCCAATTAAATTGACATCTATACAAACAATTCAAATTTATGTCACAGATGTGAATGATAATGCACCAAGATGGCATGATGTAGTTGAATCTACTAATATACAGCTATACCCCTATAATAAAGAAATTACAATTTTTCAACTTCAACCAATATGGGAAATTAATCAAAATTCACCAATTGAACTTAGATCACAATTAAAAGTATATGATCTTGATTTTGGTGATAATGCTAAATTACAAATGTATATTATTGAACCAAATCATGAATATCAACAATTAATTGGTCGAAATCAATTCAATTTACCGACAGATTCATTATATTTATCTATAAATGGTGAATTAAAATTATATATTGATAAATTAGAAGAAATTTATCAATATTATACATTTATCCGTGTACAAGATCAAGGTATTCATCGACAATTATATACAGATGGTTATTTCTTTATACAATTACCAATTAAAACAATCAATAAATTAGAAGTATCTATGGATTCATTCAATATAACTAATAGAAATACTCACTTAATGAATATAAGTCACTTAGCAACCAGCACTCAGTCAACATGGTTATGGTTAAATGAATTCAAAGTGATCATTGTTTTAATTGTTTCATTTAGTTTAATCATTTTATTGTCAATTATTATGATTTTTGTAATTTTAATCAAATTTCAAAAGAAAAAACGTAAAAAATTAAGAAAAACTTATTTTCATCAAATTATTGATCATATAATTGGGAAAAAACATGATACATTCAATTCAGATTATTATACTACTAATATAAGTAATAATAGTAGTAATAGTAATCATAATACAATAAATAATAAAAATGATTATTATAAATATAATCCAATGAATTTAACTTATCAATCTGATCTAATAAATCAACAACACTTAAGTTTGAATACGAATCCATTCAATGTAACATCTATCTCTTCTAATTTATATCCTGAAAATAATAATCACATTGACAGTCAATATAGTCATGAACATCTTCATGTGAATGAATTTGATAATTCATGTGTTGATTCAATATTTCAACGAATATCAGCTCCATATGATTTGTTTTATCCAACTATTTATACTAATTTAATGACATCATATGAGAATACTATAATTAATACTACTACTAATACTACTACAAGTACTACTAATATGAATAGTAATAGTAGTAGTATTAGTAATCGTAATTATCAATATTTTAATAATACACTTCATTATTAAAAGTATGAAATATTAAATTCATTGATAAGTAAAGAGGAATTTATTGACCAACTAACATCATCATCATCATCATCACCGTCAACCTCATCAATGAGGGAACCGATGATGCTGATGATAACAATCACTTATAAACAACAAACTATATATAATTAATGCTCAGTCAATTAGAACTAAATATAATGACAAAATATTATTGGGATAATTATGAATACAATGAGTAATTGTATACAATGTCATACACATTTTGCCTATGGATAAGTATACAATAAATAAGGTTTTATGTGATTTTTACTTAATTGTAACTGTGGAGAAAATGGGATTGTATAATGATCAACATATTCTACCTTTATCAAACTGGTGTATTCTCTTTCTTTTTAAGATTAGAATCTGTCAGAATGATAAATTCATTATGTAAAATATTTTCTGTTATGTATAACAAAATTAAATTTGTTTATTTCTTATCTTTCTCTTTGTCTCTGATTATATGTGTATGATAGTAACCTTAAATTTTTTTTAAACACTTGATTCGAATAATACTCATTAAAATACATACAGAAGTATTTTCCATTTCTAGAAATATTCATCAGAATTTGAATGAGAAGTCTGATCGACATTAAGCACCAAGTTTGTACAAGATATTAAATCTATGAATCTTAGTTGAATATGATTTTAATATTTGAAAACGTGAATCAATTGAATCTAGACCACCATGGAAAACCTGGAAGAACTGAACGGCCGTTTCGTTCTATTGTGGGACTACTCAGTAGCAGTGCGTAACCACGACCTCGCCTTGCGAGATTCGAACTCAGGACCTACCAGTCTCGAGCCAGAACATTTAACCGATAAACCATTGAGCCAACCGGCATCCGATGGTGTTTATGTCTAACTCCTGCCAACTATGAAAATACTAAATCTCCACAAAAACCCCTTCTAATAATGTTACGTCCTTATATCTGTCTACCCACTTTAGTGTCGAGTATGACTAGTCTAATGTAGATTAAGACCTTGACACGATAGGCTGACTGGCTTAACCTTCAGGCTAATATGCGTGAGTTTGAAGTGGAGGTAGAGAGACGAAAACTATTCTATCCCCGATTGGCTGGCAAGCACGCGAGAGAGAGAGAGAAGACAAAGACAGCTGGAACACTAATCACTTTATTCCAACCCCGATTTAGCACTCGAATTCCCAATTCAGATTAGGGTGAAAAGTTACATGAATAAATAGATGAATAGGCTGACCACAACGTACAATAATCAGAAAAATGCAATTATATCCCAAACTGGAGGATTATAGTAGAAAATAGGGTACAAAAGATTACGTCTAAATGACAATAGCTTTAGAACAGAAAATGCTATGACAATGAATCATACATCAAACTAAAGCTTATGATCTGTAGAATAGGCTAGGGACAAAAGTAAATGTTACAATTTTACAAGGTTTGAATTAAATGAATTAACGTCCCAAAAATAGCTTCCGTAATTTGTTAAGGCTTCTTGTTTTGCAGTTCACATCAGATAATAATCTTAGTAATCGAAATTTATATACATCTAAATATTCCACTCGGTAAACTAGTTTGAATAAGCTTATCTAGAAAAAATAATTATGTTCTTATCAGAAGGGGGTTTTTGTGAAGATTTTAGTAATTTTATAGTTGAATTCATGAGTCAATTAAGGTTAGATCACCATGGTAAACCTGGAAACACTGAACGGCTGTTTCGTCCTAGTATACATTATGCATCCACAAACCTACTTTCAAGTTTTCTATGGTAGTTTAGCTTTAACAACATAAATAAGCGAACAATATTGTTTTCGATTAAATCCTCATCAGACTTTACTCTAATATACAGTAATATTTATATGCATATACGAAATTATTAAACCAATCAAGGCAGTTTAGAGTCAATGGTAACAGTGGAATAGATTACATAACTAAGCATAATAAGTAAAAAGTACAAATTGGTAGTGTAATGTGACAGGTGTACTAGTTGTGATAAAAACAATAAAAGGCTTGAATCAATGTTACATAATAGGAAAATAGGTCAATGATTAGAACAATATAAACACTGAAATAACAGCCATAGAAATTATAAAATTACGCAATAAGAAATGTTCAGATAATTGGACCGTGAAACATATAATTGAGAAAAAAATTAGGTAGGAGGGGGTAAAGAAAAATAAACGAAGAAAGAGTATGAAAAATGAAATCATTTATTAAGGCCAAAGGAAAGATAAGGGTGTTACAATTTTTTTATGGACACAAAGGCTTGGATTATTGGCTCGAATTCCTATAGCTTCTGCTATATGTTAGAGACAAGATCGAACCCCATAGGGAAAACTAGTAGGAATACGATAAATAACTGTAAATGACTTATTTCTGTCAACTATATGACCGCCATCGATCAAGTGTAAAAGAACCGAGCTCCGTATTGCCTTGACAGTACCTTTTCCGAACCACGAAGGGAGGTGTTCACTAACTCTTTGGTTCCGTTGTCTAGTAGTGCGCCCAATATAGCTTTCTACGAAGGAGCAGCTGAATTCGTAGATACACATAGAAGTGGAATAACCAGGTAACTTATCCTTTAGTTGAGGAATCACCATAGATCGTGTCGAGTACGATAGACAGAGGTCGGCTGCATTAAACGTTCTCCTCACTATTCTAGTCAATCTATCCCGTAATACATCACCAGCTACATCTCCGTTGAATTGCAGTTTCAGGAAGAGAGGTTTCTTACTAGCTGTTGAGATCGCTATTTTCTTGTTTGGTACACGCAAGTGTTTCTTCAGAAAACCTTGTGGATAACCCATTTCAATCAACATATTATGCATCAGCTCTAACTCCTTGTCAATTGTATCGACCGAGCATATCTTCGTAGCTCTATTTGCCAGACATTTGACTAAGCTTCTCTTATAATGAAGGGGTACAAAACTTAAAAACTGCGTGTACCGACTTGATGAAGAACTTTTCCTATGCACACTTTTACTGATAGAACCGTTTGCTTTTTTGTTTAACAAAACTTCAAGGAAATTTAGTTTATTATCTAGTTCCTCTTCACATGTAAATTTGATTGCTGGGTGTTTGTTGTTAAATAGTTCTAGTACTTCTTCTTTTCCAATTTCCTGATCGACAATAATGAAAGTATCATCAACTTACCGACAATTGAAGTCAAGATAATCGATAACATCTTTGAGAGGTTCATTTTCTAGGATAGGACCTAGAGGTGAACCCATCGCTATTGTCTATAATATGTGTTATTAAAAACATAATGGACATTCATTGTATATTTCAGAAGTAGTGTAGTGAACAGAACACTAGTTGGGGACAATCGAATGTATTTAAGCAAACATTACAGACTATCTCAGTAAATTCTGAAAACCATACAATGTACAGTCAATTTGCAAATTAACAACCAATAGTCTCAATCTTCACTGTTTCTTCTCTAATTCCATTGTTCGTGCATTTTCCTACCGATTGCGCTTCGTTTCAGTTCTTTCGTCATCGGTCTTCTGCCAAAATACATTCTATGTCTGACCAACACCATATACTACTTATATGGATATAAGTAGATCACACCACAGTAGATCTTTAAGACTAACCTTGGGAATTCCAATATTGATTTGTTTTTCAAGTAATTGTTGGCACACAAAGTCAATAGTCTCAGTTAACGATACATTAGTGAACAGGGAAGCAACATCTAGAGATATCATCTGTTTCCCATTTAAGTTCATATGTTCAACTTTCGAAATGAAATCGAAAACATCTTTCACGCTTCTGTTGACGATTAGTTTGTGTAAGGGATCTAGAATTCGAACTAGCCAACTTGCAGTTTTATGGTAAGGTGAATTATAAATATCTAAACCTGGGTGAAGAGGAAGACCTGTCTTGTGAACTTTGGGTAAACCATAGAGTCGCGGTATGTTTGATCTAGTGGGTTTAAGTGAATCGTGTATAGTTGGAGTAAGTATTCCTTTATTATCAGAAGGGGATTTGTGGAGATTTCAGTATATTTCAAAGTTGAAATCATTCCTTTATTTTTTAATTCCTTGAGTGAATTAGTCAGCATTTTCTCTGTTTTCATATTTATGTCTTTCACGTCATTGAGTTTTTGAAATTTAGTCGTGTTATTCAAAATCGAGTTCATTTTATCGATGTAATCGGATTTGTCCATTAGAACTAGCCCCCCTCCTTTGTCCGACTTACTTATGATTAGAGTGTTATATTTTCTAAGCATATGTAAAGCATCTCGATGCTGTTTGGTAAGTGGTTTTTTTTACAGTATATTTAATACATTTGTATTGTTGGCAGATGTTCATCAATGTGGTCTTAAACCTAGTAAGTTCATCGATCGAAGTAGAGACAAAATCTGTTGTTTGTGTAAATAAATTTTCAAACTGCACATTTATATCAAAACCTAGGGCCCACGACAAAGCCTCTAATTGTACTACGCCTAATGTAACACTAGAAAAGTTATGGACGTACCGCTCAGGGTTCATAGGGAATTTTCTTTCAGGTTTATGATGTTCCAGTAACTGAATTAGTTTTGTCTCTAATTTCTCTGATCTACTTTTCGATACCATGGTAATTGACTGATGTATTTAACTAGTAAATTACCAAACTCTCCACAAAGCCCCACTTCTGATAATAATCACCATACTCTCACTATTGAGTGGCTTCAAGAGATATTTCCTGAAGTTCTAGTGAGAAGCCATGATCAGTGGAATTCAACCAGGTCTGTGTGAGATAGTACCTCACTGAATACAATGATGGATGGTGGCGCAGTTTCGTGGATTGAATGAATTTAGAGATTAACATCGTTAGATCACGGCCAACTCAGTGGTCTAGAGGTTGAGCGTTCGCGCAAGAGACCGATAGGTCCTGGGTTTGAGTACCATGTGCGGAATCATGGATGCGCACAGCCATGATAGGAAGGAACGGAGATCCAGTGCTTCCAGGTTTTCCATGTTGATCTAGCTTTAATTGACTCATGAATTCAACTATAAAATTATGTTCATAATTTCTGATATTTTTTTCTCAAAAGAAAATTTTAATTCACCTCTCTTTGTTGGTTTCTGTCCACTTGTTAAACCAATCTCAGTTTATTGACATAAACCGTCACATTTACTACCACCTTACGATTGAAATTTCAAATTCATTTACTAAGTGTATGGTTTCGTCCTCCTGAAGAACTGAGTGTTCTCAAATATGTCGACATTTTGAACTCACAAACATAGATACATAGATACAAGTTAAGTCATACATAAGAAATGTTAGAATACTTTCAATAGAGTTACTAAAATAGATTATTTATTATTGAAACTAATACTTAAACACACAAATATCGATGTTAGTAATGATAGTTAATTACTGAGAGAATTATCTAATTATTACTTAACGTGTAAATTTATGTTAGGCTTTGAAAGAGACGGTCGGTGGAATCCAGTAACTTTGTTCTATTCGGGACTCGTCAGCTGGATAAACCTAAATCTCAGTGTTAGTGTTCAGAATGAGACTTGAGCCCAGAACTTTACTTTTTGAAC